CACCAAGTGCACCACCAGGTGTGTAGACCCTTGCTGCCAGGAGGTCACCAAGTGCACCACCAGGTGTGTAGACCCTTGCTGCCAGGAGGTCACCAAGTGCACCACCAGGTGTGTAGACCCTTGCTGCCAAGAGGTCACCAAGTGTGTGGACCCTTGCTGCCAGGAGGTGACCAAGTGCACCACCAGGTGTGTAGACCCTTGCTGCCAGGAGGTGGCCAAATGCACCACCAGGTGTGTGGATCCCTGCTGTGGGGGTGTTCAGGCTGTGACCAGGTGTGTTGACTCCTGTCCCACCCCCTGCCTTGCACGGCCCGTCCCTCTCTGTGTGAATCTGGGCTCCTCTTTCTGTCCCCCACGCTGCTCCATCTCCTGTGGAGATGTTTGCTTCCGTAAATACAAGTGCAGGGCTCCTTGAGGAGCTCCTTTGGTGGGACCCCACCACAGAGGGATCTCAGTCCATGGTGCTGTTGCCCTGTGGAGCCTCCAACAACTAAGAAATGAAAATGGTTTTCAGATCCCTCAACCTGCCAACATCTTCCTGACATCTTTGTTGTCCTAGTGCCCTTCCTGTCCTAGGAAGAGTAAATCCTCTTTGGAAAATTGGTTTTCCTCAAGTTCTGCATCATTTCTTCTGTACTTACCTCAAGAGCAGTGCCTTTCCTTGTGACCTGTAACCAATTGATTTTGTACCCCCAGGAATTCTTGCCTGGGAGAGAGATTCTGTCGTTCTTTGCACTGATGGGGATGGTGGGATTCCCCTTTTGGTCCTTTCTTCCCATCTTCTCCTTTTCTTCTATGAAGCAACAATAAAAAACATTCTTGATACCAGCTGTCTGCAAGTGTTTCCTTTGCTTTTGCATCCCCCCCATGGTCACACTTTCTCTTTTTCCTTTCTCCCTGATCTCTGTGGAGTGGCAGCTCCTGCTGGAATCCATGGAAAGGTCTCAGGCAGTAGCTAGAGACCTGGGATTCATCTGGATCATCCCAGATGATTGCAGGGAGAGGGGATGGTTTGTGTCATGAGGAAGTGCTGCTCTCCTGTGGTTATGAAAAGGCTTTGAAAACCATTTGCTGAAGTGCTCCTGAGGAGCTCTGGACCACCCTGTGGTGGCTTCCCTGGGCAGAAAGGGAGTGTTCCATTGCCAGCAAAGGGTAAAGAGGAGCAGGTCTAGGAGGTCTGTGCCTTTGTCACCTGTGTGTAGGAGGTCCTATCACAGCCTTGTGTCTTTGTTCCCATGTCTAAGAGGTCCCATCTCAGCCTTTTTCAATTGGTTTGTTTCCTTGTCTCTGGTGGCATCTGGACAAGCCCCATGAGGGAGATCCACATGGATTCCCTCACCACTGATTTCTGCAGAAGTATCAGTAGCATTAGCAGGGTGTCTTGGACAATTTTGGTGGCCCTCCATGACAATCTGCTAACAGGATCCCAGTGCTTCCTCCTGAGCACCAGGTTTCTTTGCAGGTTGCTCATCCAGGAGTGAGCAACGTGCTCAGGGACTCGGTCACCCTGGTCACAGGGTAGTGCTCTGCAGGTTTCCAGAGTGGAGATGGTGCAGAGTGGGATCAGGCTTAGCAGCAGGGGAGACTGCAGGGACAGACAGCCCAGCTGCTGGAGCAGCAGGTGTGGGTGCAGCTCTGTCTGGGAGCACCCACTGGCAGGCGTGGGTGCAGCTCTGTCTGGGAGCACCCACTGGCTCCGTCTTTAAAGCCACCCCAGGGCACGTGGCTGGTGACTAACCTGCAATTATCCCAGTCTCACATTTTCAAGTAGAGGAATCCAACCAAGAGTGGGACATGAGAAATGCCACCCAGGGGATGTGGTGTTGCACGTGGGTTGGGGACATCCAGCCTCTCACAGTTGGTTGCACCCTCAGAGCTCCTCTGCTTCCGTCCTCCTCTCCCAACAGGTTGGGGAAGACCCTGGCTTGGGCCACAGAGGGTTCCTGGGCTTGGGCAAGTCCTCCAGGCATTGCCCAAGACAAATCCTGCACAATAGAAATACCAAAGCAATTGAGGCTTCCTAATCAGCTCTTGGGGTGATTTGATTTCAAACCTCCTTTCAATCCCACTCCATGTTCTGTGCAAGGAATGATTTCCTTTGCTTCTCCTCCCAGGAACAATCTTCTGGGAAATAAGAAACTTCAAGTGGAAAAAAAAAAAATGACATTCAGAGAAGTTTTTCTCTAAATTTATTTATTGGCAGCA